CCTACTCATCAGATCGGGACAAGAGCCTTAGATACAAATCAGAGGGTTTGAGGTCAATGAACAGATCTTTTACCTCACATTTAGTCAAACACAGAAAAGTTCAAATACCAGAACAAAAGCAAGAGAATGTGCTTTAAAACAAAGTTTACTTAGTTTAATAACCTTCATGTTTGATGTAAAGGGGTCCATATGGACGCATTAAAATATGCATCTAAAATTTGGTTCCGAGTAAACAAGATGATTGGATAGATACAAGACCAATAAAAAGTCAGTATGCAAAAAGGGATTATCTTCTAAAACCATTCCAACAATGCAAGAGTCACTAATCTAGACACTTCTCAGATCCCAGAGTAAGGAGTAATTATTTTAAAATCAAATAATTTCAATCAATGTGCCCAATCATTTAAATCAGTATTTTTTTTCCTATTACTTCTGCTCACTGAAAATGTACAAAGGCCACAAGGTTTAAGATGTTCTATTGACATGTTGATGATTGTGGGCATTATGAAATCTCCCAAAGCAAAACAAGAGTTCCACTTCAGCCGTGTTCTTAAGTGCTCAACAGGCTGATAAGGAAATGCCCTTAAGTTTCTCCCTATAAGGCACCTGTCTGTCACCGAGTGTGTGTGATTCAATGAGGATGCTCATTAATGGAGCTGAGAGTTTGTCTGATCCAGGAAAACACGACTCATGCATTAATACACCCACATATCTCACTTCAGACAGTCATTCCATCGTTTTATTGTTCTGCCGATTGACTGTGTGCATGTTTGTTAACACGACACAGCACTAAACAGCGAATCTGACGAAATCTGCCTGAGGATTCGTTCAGCTGCAACTAAATTTGAAGTATCTGCACATTAGTGAAAATAAACAACCATTGTCAACAATGCAAAAAAAACATTCAGACTCATGCAATAGTCAACTACATTAATTACAGTTCCATACAATGAGTTATTTTAAATAAATTTGCATTTACAAGCACATACAATTTGTGCCACAGATTCTCATGAATATGATTGTTTTATTTCATGTTTTTTTAAACATTTTTAATGTTTTTAAAATTTGAAGTATCTGCACATTAGTGAAAATAAACAACCATTGTCAACAATGCAAAAAAAACAGTCAACTACATTAATTACAGTTCCATACAATGAGTTATTTTAAATAAATTTGCATTTACAAGCACATACAATTTGTGCCACAGATTCTCATGAATATGATTGTTTTATTTCATGTTTTTTTAAACATTTTTAATGTTTTTATTTTTTTAAGATTTCTTTAATAAATTGTAATAAGACTTATTTCTTTCAATTTACAATTAATCATTTTGCTAAATCAGGTTTGAATACCTATGGACAACATACTAAAAAAAGGTAGTTGACAGAAATAAACTTTTGTTAGACAGTGACATACACAATATATGAATGTCATAGCAGAAAATATGTGATGATGTCCTGAATAATCCAGAAAATGTACATAAACACATACTGTAATGCTTACCAGTGGCACATGCTGAACGAGAAATTGTCTGGAGCTGCAAACGATTGCGAATCTTGATAGAGTTGAATAGATTTTTTGCAATCATGCCTGAATAAAATAGCCCAAAAGAAAAAAAGGTTTCCTGAAACAGAATCAAAGCACCAGCAAAAAAAACTAAACAAGATCTTGTGAAATCAAAATTGGAGTCTCGTGGTTTATAGTCCATGTCTGCACTACAAACATTCATCCAATCAAATTAAATGGGCTCTAGAAAATACTGGTTTACAGCTGTGGTGTAAACCAAAGGCTATTAATTAGTTTTATTATTTAAAAAAAAAAATTTTAATAAAATCACAAACAAAAAAGCGAATCAAAAACAAAAAGTTACTTCAAGAGGTGTAAAGTTCGATTTTTAGGAACATAATTCAGAAGCTTAAAATGTGTACAAAAAATGCAAATATGCACACCTTCTGACCAATACATTTCTTCCTAGTCATGTGTCATCACTTAATGCACAAAATCTAATAAACGGTAGTCAATGATATACTCAAAACTGAAATTTTAATAACTTTTGTAGGAATGATAAAGTTATCAATAATACATAATAAAATTTTAAAAAATTGCATTAATTTCCATGACTTTTCCAGGCTTCTTCCATTCCCTGTTATTTCCAGCTTTTTCATGGCCATGGGAACCTTTTAACATCTGATTTACAAAAGATGAGGATGCAAAGTTAAAAATAAATACATAAATAAAAAATACCAGAACGTGTTATTTTACTATAAAATGTAACCTTAGGGTTTTGGAAGTAGAAAGAAATGTTCAAATAATCTGCAGTGAAAAAAATCTCTAATGAACAAGACAATACATGCAGCCGACATATACAGTAAAAAATGTAAACATTATTTTCCAATGTTCTTATTTTGTAAACAGTTACCTGCGTTATGGTGTTTTGCGTGACATTCTATGTTGTTCACGTCTGGCATTATTTTAGCATTATGCATGTTACCCTGATGCTGTTTTGTGCTTGTGGAAAGGTGTATGGTTTAAAACAGCACTTCTGATTAACTGCAATTCATCATCTGGCCTTCTATTTAACTTTTTGTTAATAATTATGGTGATCATCAATATATTTTAAGGATGAGCCGTCCGAGAATGTTGGTATATTTATAAAACTTAGTCCATATTTATATTTTTACAATGCTTTTGCTATAGTACAGTTGCTTTTGTGCATTTTAGCATAAATTTGACCAGACATTAAAGACATTTCAAAGACACAATCCAAGCAAATCTCACCATTTTGTTTGGACTGCGCTTTCTTATCCAGCTGATGAGGTGCCATGATGTCTCTGCTCCATTTTTCCAACGCTTCCATCTTCCACCCCCTGTAAACAAGTCACATAACATTTCCAAAGCCATGTATTTCTCATCCTGAGTGTTGCTTGCAGTGTGAGGCATGCATATGCTGGTCAGATGTGTGACTGCAGTGAAGGCACAGACAGACACCCCCGCACTCAAGCATTGCAGGACTTTAGTCTGCTACACAAATATATATATATATATATATGGCGTGATTTCACGATCAAATGCTGGTTTCATGCCGCCGAGCGCATGCATGATTATATAAAACCACAGTGAATGGCTCGGGGGGAAATGAGCACTGCGTTAAATGAGCGTTTACGTCTCATCAGATGCGTTTGTGCAGCTTCATCCGGATGGATGTGCGGTATCACTGCATGCACGCGACGCAAACCACCAGCGAGCAACAAACAGAAGACACACATACAAGACATCTATAACATTTGTGAGCAGAAAATATATTAAACATAAGATTGTTTAAACAAACCCCAGCCATTCATCTTAGCAGCGCTCAGCTGAATGACGCTCACGGAAGCGACGAGCTGCGCTTCCTGGGAAATGTAGTTCTTATCTTCTTCTTCTGTGGGTTTATTGGCAGTGTTGCCAGCTTAGCAATTGTGTTGCTAAATTTAGCAACTTTTCAGACTACCCCAGCGACTTTTTCTTCCAAAAGCACCTAGCAACATATTTAGCTATTTTTCAAATTAATTTGGCAACTTTTAGCAACTTTTGATAAGTGACTCAAACGATAAAAAGGCACAATTTACCATTTAAATGACACAAAACGAGAAAATCCAAAGATGCTTAGCAGTACACACGTTAGCTGCTATTTGCAATTGTTTAATTTAATAGTAATAATAATAATTGCATAATTGAATACTGTTATTGTTCATTTATGAGACACTTTGTTAGTAGCTTGTAGCTGCGATTGTTGAGTTAGTTACTAACTCATCAACAATCGCAGGTTGTTTTTCCATTTTTTCGCCACCTTTTCCATTTTTCTACATATTTTTCGGTAACACTTTACTTAAAGGGGTGTGCATACGACTGACATGACACCTTCATGATCATGACATGACACATGTCATGAATATGAAGGTTTTTTATGCATGTTTATGACAACTGTCATTAAGTGTCATTCGCTCAGTTATGTCATTTTTAATGCAAATATGACATTATTTGACCTAACCCTACCCCTACCCTTACCCCTAACCATAGCCCATAACAAAGACATCTCAAACAATGTCATCTTTGCATTAAAAATTACATAACTGAGCGAATGACACTTAATGACAGTTGTCATAAACATGCATAAAAACCCTTCATATTCATGACATGTGTCATGTCATGATTATGAAGGTGTCATGTCAGTCTTATGCACACCCCTTCAAGTAAAGTGTTACCTATTTTTCTTACAGTGTACTAAGAAAAATATATAGAAAAATGGAAAAGGTTGAACTGGATCATCGAAGGTCAGAAGCAAAGACATTGGTTAATAGAATGGGATTAAATACATAAAGCATATTTGTGTTGTTTAACATTGAATTATTGCAGGTTTGCGTCATATTCTGAGTTGCATTATTTTTATTAATTTTGAGGAATACTGAATCTGTGTGTTTTTGAGTGAGATGAATTCATGCATGTTCATATTTATTTTAGAACTACAGTAACATCTTCTGATTTCTCTCAACATGGGGACAGAAGAGCTGTCAATCAATACATTTGAAAAAAAGAAGTAACTTGCGTTACTTATTTGAAAAAGTAACTCAGATATTCTCTTGTAAATTAAAAAGTAATGTGTTACTTTACTAGTTACTTGAAAAAAGTCATCTGATCACGTAACTCGCGTTACCCCAACACTGATCTTGAGTTAACTGTCTGTGCAGTAACAATGAAAACGTTGAAAAGTTTCGGCAGCCTTTAAATGAACAAACTTAGAAATCTAAAGAAATATTTACTGTAGTAAAATGTATCTTCCCTTATAACACAGTACTGAATGATTAACATATTAACACACCGTCATTTACAGTAGTATAACCACAGTACCATGTAGCACCAAGATACTTTTTTGCAAAGCGCTGTACAAAAGAAAGAAAACCTCTCGAATAAACCAAACCTCATACCTTGTTTTGTTGCTGTTGCAGATGCTAGAGTCAGAAGGCTGAAACCGTTTGTGACAGCTTGTTATCTGTGCTCAGGATAATCACAGACAGCTTCAAGCTGCTGCAAGTATCCAAGAAAACCCCTCCGGATCCTGACGTCACACGCTGCTCTCGAGTAACAAAACTACACCGGTAACTCCATTCACTATTTCACAGCAAGTCTCCTCATTCAGAATTGGAAAGCGACAAAATAACTGTTCAAAACAGAAATGAACTAGCAGCCTTATTGTAATTTGAGAGTTAGATGTCAACAAAGCCAATCACAAATTGACAAAAAATTGAATGCATTGACAACGGACATGTCACTTAAATGGTTTTTCAATGGTTGCCGAAGCGTTTCATCCTCAAAAAACGTTATAATAATGAGACCACTTGGTAACTGACCCTCATAAATGCTGGATAAAATGCGGCCCAACACCAGTGGGTGGTATAAGGCTTTATTTACATAACAAAGTGTTGAATTACTTATGACCTGGTTGTCTCATCTGCTCAAATCCCACCTGCTTCAGAGGTGTGGTCTCCTGACCACAAAGAACAAGATTTCAGTTAGAGATGCGAGACATGCAAATGAGAAGATGTGTTTTATAAAGGTACTTAGGACTAAATAATTCATAACTGGATTGCCTTGTATGGCTGCATTGCAGCTGAAGTGTACTGTACATGCGATGTACGTTCTTGCAGAATCCAATTCAAAACACACACATAAACCATTTTCAAGAATGATTTCTGAAGGATCATGTGACACTGAAGACTGGAGTAATGATGCATCACAGGAATAAATTGCATTTTAACATGTTGCTGTAAATTGTAAGAATATTTGATCCAATAAGCGCAGCATGGATGTGTCCAGCACAGCATGGTGAACTAGTAGGAATATTCCTTTGATCGGAGATGAAAGCTGCACTCTGATCTCTAGTAGTAAAGGAGACTCTAAAGGTCGTGTCAACAGTGTTTACTGTCTCTCTCTGCTGATCATAAACCTGCTGTATGCTTGCTTTTGTGATGGTTAAGGGAAATGGAGAACGGAAATTGCTTCCAGATCAGCTGTAAGTGCTCTATATTGTTCTTTTCTATCGAGCCATTTTTGTTTGGAGTGGCTCAGGCTGTGCAAGAAAATACATGCATAAAAGAATCTTTCATAAGCGATGGTAAGTCTCATGTGCTCATCGAGTGTGCATTTATTTGATTATGAATACAATACAAACAGTGATATTGTGAAATAGTATTACATTTTAAAATAGCTGTTTTCTATTTGGATGCACTTTAAAATTTTATTTCACAGGAATATGGGGATTTCTCAACCCTTTTATCCAGAAAAAATGTATTGCCACTATCCCTTTATTTTTCCCATTTGTGAACTTTAGGCAGAGGAAAATCTGAACTCCGACTGATTTATCAAACCCTTCTGATGTGAATCCTGTAAAAATGCATCAACCTCCATTTTAAAGGCAAAGGTAGGATTATTGTCCAGTTTCATGTTTCAATGAACGCAGGTGTTGCTTATAGTAGCACATGGCACTGAGGAAGGGTTAATACCCCAAAATGTTCTGCACTTTTGCACCTTTGCACATTTTTGTGCCTTTTGGGCTAAATTTGGACGAGTGCGGATCTCTTTCATCTTTGTATCAGAAATTGTATGAACAATAAAACTGTAAAATTCAGTAAAATTCCTCTAAACACAGGGTCATCAGAATAGTGGCTAACCAATACAATACAAAAAATTAGGGTGATGTGACAGCATTAAATTAATCTTGCAGATAAAGTTATGCTAAATACAACAAATAAAATTAGATGTATCATTATATCTTATTTGAAAACATGGCAAACAGCTATATTTAACTATAAAAATAAGCGTTTCTAAAGAAGAACATTCTTATAAACAGATTTACTTGATTTTTATATGAACGATGCACTAAAATGTATTGGACTTGCTAACAGCTACAAATGAGGGAGAAGACAACATAGGAGAGAGTAATGAAATGTTTCACTAAAACAATATGGATCAAATAAATGAAAAAGAATGGCCATGGTCCATAGTCTGTCCATTGCACAGTATAACTTATTGCAATTCTTGTGAATATTGTTACAAAGGAATGGGAATGCAGGTTTTTCAGAAGGTTTTGTTTGTGAATGGGATCTTTAGCGTGTGTTTCAAGGCCAGCGTTGTGTCCACCTGTTCAGAGGAGAGTAACGTGTGCCATTGAGCCACAGGCTTGCGTGGGTTGGACAGCATATCCGCCCAGTGACGCAGCTGGTTTCCTGTAGCATCACAGCCCAGATATATCTTGCCGATCGCATTATTTCTGCTCATTTTGTCATGATCCCACACAGAGATGACCAGCTGGACTTTCTGTATGAGGGATAATAAGTGAAACAAACAGTTATACACATAAGTTACTTGACGTGGTTGAAATCACAATGTAAGAATGATATTATGATTTTACAATGCTATTTTGTTTTCCCACAGACACAAATCAAACCTACAAGAATCAAACAATCTAATAGAGATAAACATCACAATGGGTTCAGAAGATCACAGCAAATGTTGATTTGCCATTGGACCCTTAATTCATCTAAGCAACCAGTTAGGCTTCACTCACCTGAATCTGTTCAAATGACACTTCAAAAGTGAAAGATTCATTGAAGTATGGATTCAGTGTCTGCTTCTTCACTGATGTTTTCTTCTTCTTCCACTTTTTCTTATCCAGAATCAATTGAACTTTCACATAAGGGTCTACAGAACAAAAACAGAGTGATTAAACCATTTCTAAGCTAAACATACTCTCTGTAGCTGAAATAATGCAATGTCTGATCAATTTTGCAATTGGAATAACAGTTGCAACATTGTAGCCGGTAGCAACCTTTTTGCAAAATGATATTACATTGCTTCTTTCAGGCTTTGTGACACTTCCAAAGTAAAATGTCCAGTATGTGGCACTAAAAAAACACATTCAGTTTTATCTAAAACAGATTAACTTGAATTTGGCAATGTTTTTTTCTGCTTTAGCTTGCTTTTACAAGTCTGTGAACTCTTTTATCATGACTCGTGTTTCCAAGGACTCGTACCTGAGCTTTTCATCATTACGCCTTCTTTCTTTGCGTGAACATTTGGGCAGCGTTATGCAAATCTTCCCACATAGTGACGTAGACATGTGGGGGCGTGTTAGAACGAGCCGTTTTAGGTAGGTGTGGCTGACTCTTAACTTTTATAAAGAATATCTCTTTGGATTTGAGACTTTAGTCTTTGCAACTTTACAGATCTTCTTTATGCACCAAGAGCTTGCAACACTCCAAAGAGAAAGGAAAAATTTAAATCGCATCATATGACCCCTTTAAGATATTTGTGATGGAATCTGAGAGCTGTCACACCCTGCATATACAGATTATTTATTTATTTTTTATTATTTTTTTTCTTTTGCACACAAAAAGTATTCTCGTAGCTTCGTATAATTGCGGATGAACCACTGATATCACATGGATTATTTTACAGATCTCCTTGCTACGTTTCTGGACTTGGGAACATTTCAGTTGCGTTGCTGTCTATGGAGGGTCTGAGAGCTCTCAGATTCCATCAAACATATCTTAATTTGTGTTCCGAAGATGAATGAAGGTCTTACGGGTTTGAAACGACATGAGGGCGAGTAATTAATGACAGAATTTTCATTTTTGGGTGAACTAACCTTTCAGGTGTTTTTAACTGCCACTAGTATTCATTTCAATTGTAGAAATTGTAGTGAATTGTATTTATTGGTACGTTTTGCAAAACTGTAGGTAAAGGCACGTTTTTTTTCCCTGTGAGGCCATTTTTAGTGTTTGAGAAGTTTTGTTTGTGTCAGTAGTGATTGCAGACTAGACTTCTGAGGATGTAGGATATTTTAGTATGTCACCTGAAGAGCCTCCCTGGTCCATCCTCTTCAGGTTCTTGGCTTCCAGTATGATCACAGTGAGTTTACTACTAGCTGGGACATAACGAATAGAAAAGCAGATATCTCCCAGATGTTCTTGCTGCAATATAGGATGACATTTAAGATGCGATTACACTAGCAGTTACATTATGCATAGGGAACGCTCATATGCCTCTTGTGTCTTGTTGAGGCAATCTTGATTTTCAGTCGTGACTTGCATGGGGTCATAATGTAAATTACGTCAAGCACTGAGTGCTTACGAGCAAAGATGGCAGAAATTTCAATTTGTCACCATTGTGCCATTGAGTATAGGGCACATAAGGTTGCTCCAGGGGGACTCGCTGTAATTTTACATGATGCTCTATGCTCAAAATAATTTTGTAGGAGCATCATCCATACTGCAGCAACAGAAAGAGTAGGGGCAAAACTACTATTCGAGACCTCTCCAATTTCTGGTTTGTAGAGAATGACACTTTGCACTGCATATCAATATAATTTATGTGAGCTAACTACATGAAAAAATACATTGAACTTGAGAACGTATTTGACTGAACTGAACCTCATGTTTGGAAGCTTCGCTCAGATCTCTCCACTCCTCAATCACATGATTCCAGTCCACAGTGGACAGATTCAGTCTGATCTCACCGATCATGTCGTGTTTGGAGAATCTGTTGAAGTCATAGACTTGCATCACCAGTGTCGACTCAATCAGCTCCTTCTGAGGGATCTTCAAGTGATGAAAACAACACATCAGTGTTTAGTTACTGTAAATAGGCTGTAAATTTAACAACTCCACTTTAATGAGCTTGGTCTTGACCTCATCAGGTCATTGTTTGAGCTGACAGCAGATTATTTTCCTACATTAATCTATGCCCATTTGATAATGAACGATTTTATATGCTGCATGGTTTACCTGATATTTGAAATTTTCATTGAACACTGGGTTAAGGGTTTTCCTGAAGACTTTCGTCTCAAACGTTTTGGACTTGTTGGGAAGAATGTAGACTTTCACATAAGGGTCAGATGTTCCTCCTAAATCCATCGCTTTCAAAGCGGCAGCTTCTTTTATCCCTACAGTCAGCTGATGAGAAATATGGTACAGTACATATAAGATTAAGATTATGAAAACTGTTTTATGACAGTTTTAATATAAAAGTATATGCTACATGAATTTACATTTGACCCTATACTCTATTAGTACACATTACTAGACCTGTACTGAAAAAT